TGAGGTCCGTTCCGAGTCACCCTCAATTTCTAACGCCTGGAGGTCGCCCACGAAAGGTGGCGTTGGAAACAGCTGCAGACGACTTAATCCACGCCGGAGGACGCAAGATGCAGGCGCGGGACAGTTCCTCCAGCTGGCCCTCACTTCCGTACAATGACCCAAGATGGCGGGGCCGGCGGCTGAAAACCACATTCAAGATGTCGGCTTCCGGTTTTCCCGGCAGCGTCGTGCGCGGCCGCTGGGGCCACGCCCACTTCCGGCCCGTGTGCTATGGCATGGCTGCTTTAGGGACCTGGCTGTCCAGTGAGTGACTGTGGGGTCAGGGGTCCCGGGCGGTGTTGGAGGACGCGGGGGCGACCTGCCGTCTAACTCCCTGCCTTTCCAGTAGGTGTCCGGAGGTTGCACTGCAGTGTGGCGGCTCGGGCCGGCGGCCAGTGGAGACTTCAGTGAGTGCCGGGCGGGGGCGCGGCGGGACCTGGAAGCCCGCCGAGCCCTCACCCCACTGTGTTTTCCCCCCACCCAGGCAGGGGCTGGCTGCCAACCCTTCCGGCTATGGGCCGCTCACGGAGCTTCCTGACTGGTCTTTCGCGGGTGAGCCTTGATGTCAGGTTTTTTCTTTTTCCTCCGAGAGGCAGGGATTGGAGGCGTGTCAGGGGAAATACTAAACCTTTTACTTAGGAGAGAGTTCGAGGACAGGAGCTCTAATTTTGTCTTGACTGCAGAACCAGGTGTGGTAAGCTCACACCTGAAACCCTAGCCTTGGAGAGTTGAGGTAGAGGGATCGCTGTGAGGTCAGTGCGTGGATGTGCTATGAAGGGAGTCCCAGATTGTCCTGAAGTACAGTGAGGCGCTGTGTATAAATTAGTAAATAGTAAATTGGCCAAGGAAGGCAAGCTGTATGGGATCATAGCCTGTACATGAAAGATACAAGGGTATGTGACTTTCATCTTCTCAGAAGGAGATGTGTGCTGAGTGTATTTTGAGAATTTGATTCCAAATACGCGAGGAATTCTTGGGGAAGATGCTGAAAGGAACACCGAAGACCCCTACAGGACTAAAGATGGCAGCCTCAATATAGAGAAGTCTTTTCTAAAGGGAAAAATATATATATTTATGGGCAGGAGAGATGCCTCAGATACACTGACTGCTCTTCCAGAGGACTTAGGTTCAAATCCCAACACCCACATGATGCCTCACAGCAGCCTGTAACTTTCATTTTAGGGGGATCCGATGCTATCTTCTCACTTCCACCTGCACCAGGCACCCACATGGTGCACAGACAAGATGTGCAAGCAAAATACCTATTCACATAAAAATAAAACTTTAAAAACAAAATTTAAAAAATAATGACTCTGGCCTGCAGTCAGCACTCAGCAGACAGAAGCAGGAACATTAAGAGCCTTGGCTACATAGTAAGACCTTGGCTCAAAAATCAAAAGTGAGAAATAAAAAAAAAAAAAAACAAAAAAAAACAAAAAAAAAACACTGCATTTTATTATACAATGAGATGAAGTTTAGCAAAGAAGATTAAAACAGTGAATTTACCATTGCAGATGACCCTAATTCCATGCTAATAATGAAATAATAGGAACATGCTTGGGAACTCATTTTCATGATTCTGTTGTACCTCACCATTGAAGATGCTAGATGTATTAGAAAAATTAAGCTAGAGCAGTTGTGAACTGGTTTCCTCTTCAGTATTATTTTTGAAGAGCAGTACTGGGTCCTGAACCTAGGACCTCCCACATGCTAGCTCCAACTCCAGCTGTAGTGTGAATTGGAAGAAGGGAGCTAGAGACAGACACTTCTGTAATTCCTGTCACATCATAGTGTTTGGACAAGATGCCCAGACCACATTTAACACTTCTCTTTTTTCTTCTGTCTGTAGATGGCCGCCCTGCTCCCCCAATGAAAGGCCAGCTTCGAAGAAAAGCTCAAAGGGAAAAGCTTGCAGTGAGTGGCGGGAACTCCAGCAAGGGCTGTGTTTATATAATCAGAGGAGGAAACTTTAAATCATCCTATATCTTTGTTTTCTTTAAGATTGACTTTTATTTTATTTGTATGTGTTTTGCCTGTATGAATATATGTTCATATGTGTGCCTGGCACCTGTAGAGGTCACAGGAGGGTGTCAGATCCCCGGGAACTGGAATTACACATGATTATGAGCTGTCATATGTCTGTTAGGAGTTGAACCGTGTCTCATGAAAGAGCAGACAGTACTTTTAACCACTGAGCCATCTCTCCAGCCCCATAAATTAGAATTTGTTTTAAACTGCATTACACCTGAGCTACTGCTTGGCAGTGCTTCGGATAAAACCCCGGGCTTTCTGCCTCCTGGACAAGCACACCACCAGCAGCTGTTTCTCCAGTCCTGACACACAGCTTCATTCATTCATGCATGCATGCATGCATGCATGCATGCATGCATGCAAGCAAGGAATATAGACCAGGCTGGCTCTCAAGCTCACAAGAGGTGGCCCTGCCTTTGCCTCTAGTGCTAGGATCAAAGGATACACCACCCTACCTGGCCCAAGCCCAATGTTTTAATAGAAGGGAAGACTGGAGTGAGGTGCTCATTGCAAAAACCACGAGCAGACATTCTTCCTCGAGTTGTTTCCTCCCTTCATGCAAAGCCTGGCCTGATGCCCATAGGCAGCATCAGTGTCCAGCTGAAAACCTCTGGCTTTGGGGAGAAAGGATATCTGCTCAATGCTACATATGCTTGAACACCAGATGGTAGTTATCCTTTTCCTGTCTGTTTCAGAGAAGAGTTGTACTGCTGACACAGGAAATGGATGCTGGATTACAGGCATGGAAGCTCAGGCAGCAGAAACTGGAGGAAGAAAGGAAGCAGAAAAATCCTCTTAAACCTAAAGGGACTTTGCTGAAAAGCCCACTTCCAAATAAATAAAAAGCAGCTCCTGTCCAGCTTTCCAGGCTCTCTCTGGCTTTCTTTTCTTGCACCTGAATGCTTTATCCCAGGCAAAATGGAGCCATTTTTCCCACTGTGTGTTTCCCACTACCCCCTCAGGCACCTGGAGGAGCTTGAAATCATTGCCTGCTAGGCTCAGTCCAGTGCCCTTACTCACTCCATTCCAGTTCAGCCAGATCTTGCTCTGAGGTTTTTACCCCTGGTGCTGGTGAACAAACCCAGAGCCTTGCAAAAGCTAAGCATGCCACCACGGTACCAGCCTTGCTCTGGCCATAGGGCTGACCCAGCTAAGAGCAACAGCTGCTCTCTGAAAGAAGAAAAGAGTAGCAGCACCCACACAGTTCAGTTGTGTACAGTTGGCATTCAAGCCAATAATTTTTTTTGTTGTTTTAAGATTTATGTATTATGTATATAATGTTCTGCCTGCATGAACAGAAGAGGGCACCAGATCTCATTATAGATGGTTGTGAGCCAGCACATGGTTGCTGGGAATTGAACTCAGGACCTCTGGAAGAGCAGCCAGTGCTCTTAACCTCTGAGCCATCTCTCCAGCCCCTTAATAAATGTTTTGATGAAAAGGGCTTTCCATTTGAGGTCCTTTTTTTGAGATAAGGTCTCACTGTAGCTCTGACTGACCTAAAACTGGCCAGGTAGACCAAGAAGCTGTCTAGAACTCAAAAAGATCCTCCTGCCTCTGTCTAGGTTTAAAACCATGTGCTACCACACCTGGCAGAAGGCCCTTTCTTAACAAGCAACTAGTGTCCAGATACATGGTCCAGAAGACACCCACACAGGAAGACTGGCATAGGAAGAATTAAATTTGGGTATTTGGTCTTCTACTGAAGGAGTCAGAGGTTGGTTGGAGAGGGTTCTGTACCTCCCCACCCCCTCACGATGACGCTGTGGCTCTCATACCCTCCTGTCAGGTGGACACTGCTCACAACCTAGCAACCATTCGTTTTATTGATCATGAGCCCTCCCCTGGACTCTAAAGGCAAGGACCTTTGTTCCTGTCCCAGTACTGAAGGCTGGTCCTGTATCTTTCTACCGCAAACCTCGTAGTACAGGATCCCTGGAGCTTCCTACCTGACCTGATTTCTATCCCCCTCCCCTACAGCTTCCCTTGCTTGCTTTCCCTCCCTTCCTCTCCCCACGACCTTCCTCTCGCTGACCAGAAGCAATTCCTGGATCTTGCATTTCGCTGATGGTCGAGTTTTCTGTCTCCCACACTTTTCCTGCCTCTGCCCCACTGCCTGGTGGTTTTCCAGATCTAGTTCTCAACCTCTTATCTATCTCCCTTCCTTACTGCCAGCTCCAGCCTGTCCTCCCCCTTCCCTGCATACCTCTCTCCTTTTGTTCTCCCAGCCCAGCCATCACGGAAGCTGTACTCTAAGGAACTGTCTCCAGCGTAAAGACTGAACCGAACTCCAAAATCCTAACTCCCAATCTCTTCCAACAATTTTCATCAAACTTCTCTCTGGCTTTGCCTAATTCTGTGACTTTGAACCCTTTTCCTGTCCAGGCAGTTCACACTCAATGGAACAGCCAGATTGGAAAAGCTATTAATAAAGAGGTGGGCCCCCAAATTCAAAGTAACTGTGTTCGATGTTAGGCAAAGTCTTTTGTTACCGTCTAAGTGTGGGGCCAGAGAAGGAGTTTGTCAGGTCTCAGCACACACATTTAACAAGGGGCAGCCTTGTCAAGTGCCCCTTCTCCCAGCCTTCCTCATCGGCATGGAAAAGTTTTCTCTCATGTCACCACCATCCCTGACCACCGGGGCTCCCAATACTTATCACTGTGAAGTGAGACATGCTGAATACTACGGGAATCAGGCCACCCAAAAAATGCTTAGGAAGAGAAAGTCTTCCGCATCCCGTCCCCTGGGACACCCAGGCTCCTAGTTAGTTGTCGGCTGTGGCCTCAACCCCTGCAGATGGCAGCCTGCACCACAGAAAGACAACTTTTTTTTTTTTTTTTCCCTCTCTCCTGCGCTTGGCTGTAATTGGATTCAGGCTGAAACAACCACGTCCCCACCAGGAAAGGAGGGCATTGGGGCGGGGGCGGAGGAGAGGCTGTGGGAGAAGGGAGGGACCAAAGGAGGGAGCAGAGAGGGCTTCCAAGCCAGTTCGCCGACTAAGCAGAAGAAAGATCAAAAAACGGAAAAGGGAAGAGCAAACAGGCACTTTCAGGAGCAATCCCCTCACCTCCAAGCCGACTGCGCTCTAGGAATCCAAATTCCGTTCCTTCAGAAGACAAAGGCGCCCCCGAGAGAGCGGCGGCGCGACCCCAGGGCGTGGGCCCCGCCGCGGAGCCCGCACCGCCCGGCGCCCCGACGCCGCGGACCATGTCTCCCGCCCCTCGACCCTCCCGCAGCCTCCTGCTCCCCCTGCTCACGCTCGGCACGGCGCTCGCCTCCCTCGGCTGGGCCCAAGGCAGCAACTTCAGCCCCGAAGTAAGTGAGCTCCTCCGGCCCTTCCCGGAGTTGCGCCCACCGGGTAGGCGAGCCCGGGGGGTCTCTAAGGGAACAGTCCCCGCCGAGAGCAGGGCTCTTGGGGGGCTCTGCTGCTCCAGCCTTTCTTTTACCTCCTCATCTGCAAACTCGCAAGCCGATCCAACTTCTGCCTGCCTCCAACAAACCCCCTCCGCCGCCACCGACTCTTTCTCATTCCTTCCTTCCCTGGAAGAACTTTGCAGCGGGGCCCGGGCCTGGCTCTCCCGAGCTCTGCGCGCACCGAGGCAGTAGGCGGGAGCCCCCCAAACACTGGACTCCGCTCCAACCCCGCACCGTCCGGGCCGGTGTCACTCGCCAGTTGTTCCTTCGGTTTGGCAGCACTCAGGTGCCCGCGGCCCTGCGCGGGCGCATCTGTCCCAAGTGGGGCGTCGGGGGCGGCCGAGCGGTACTCGCCTCCCCCTGGATCGCCCTCGCTGCGGGCCCCCCGGGCCCTGGCGTCGAGGATCGTGGCGGGCCAAACTTCCGCGCACACAAAGCTCTTCTTGTGAGCAGCGGGGGCTCAGTCTGGCCACCGCCTCCCGCGTCCTCGCCCCTGCCGGCGCCTTCGGGGCTCTTTTTGTTATTAATTGTTTTTTCTGCGTTAATTGCAGAGAGACTAGGGGGAGTCGCTAGGCGAGTGAGTTGAGGGTGGGCCTGGGTCGCCCTCAAGCGTCCAGACTAACTTGGGCGTCCCCACCCCCATCCCCAACTCTTCGTTGACCCTAGCCCACCCTGGTCCTGAAGGAAGCTGCGTGGGAGTAGTCCGAGGAAGTTTTCCCTTCCTCTCTTATTTTGGGGTGAAGGTGGGAGACGGATTTAATCAGCTTCTTATTTTGGGCCATCCCAACCCACTCATCCTGGTGAGGACCTGGGTGTGGTAGGGAAGGGCTGGGAAGGGCCCAAAATGCAGAATATAGTCTGGATTGACTCCCTCTGCTCTAGTCCCAGGCCCAAGCCGGATAGCACCCTCCGAACGAACCTTTCCTGGGCACATGCCTCCTGTGTCCCTGAAGAGACCTGGGGCTGACGGGACTAGCGTGGCCTCAGTGGAGTGGGGCCGCATGGGAACTAGAAGGAGTAAAATCCTCCCTGAGGCTGGAAACCAAACCCAATTGTCAGAGAGGAGGAGGCGCTTTTCCCAGGCCTGAAGCTCCTATCTTAGCCCTAAAGAGAAAGGGCCTAACAAAAGGAGCCTCTGGAAAACTGCCCACTGCCAACTTCTTTTTCCCCTCCCCAGCCTCCACTAGGTCCCCTAGGGGAGGGGCAGCAGCCCTGGCTCTGCTCTAAGTGGGTCATGGTCGTCCCAGAGCCAGAACCACCATTTGCTTCTGGAACACAGTAGGGTGGGAAGCTGAGGGAGGGCGGGGCAGACCCAGAGGCCAGGATCCAAGGCTTGGTGTAGAGCTGGAGAGCCCCAACCGTCTCAGCCTCCTAAAGTGGGAGGTGTTCCTTGACTTTCTCATAGGGAATACCCTGCACTTCTTGATCAAGACAGTGCCAGCTAGCTGGTACGTGCCACCCAAAACAGTTGCGCCTTCTTCAGGCCAAGCGGAAGGGGGAGAAGAGGCAGCCCAGGCCTGAGGCAGCTAGGTGCTGCTTGCCAGGCCTCCACACACAGGAGCTCCAAGACAGCCCTCTCCTCCCTGTCCGTGTGTCTGGTGCTTCGCCCTTCCCCCACTCAGCCGCAGACACCAGAGTCCTCTCCTGTGGTTCCAGTCTCATGGTCTGTGGTTCTCTCCTGGCTCTGTGAGATGGAGAGAGAAACTTGCCCAGTCTGGGGAGGAAGAAAATGATGGGGACACTTTTCTTGCCTGACTTTGTGATACTCTTTCCGGGGAGTCCTTTTCCTGACAAAGCATCCATTTTCCCCCACAGGGTACAGGGCAAGGATTCTGAGTGTGCTTATTTAGGCCTGCCTACATCTTGACAAGCTCATAGGAAAGGGATTTATCCAGGGCTCCTAAAGATGATGCTCCCACCAGCTCCCTTAGCCATCCTGTTCTAGGAGCATTCCCTCAGTTTGGCTATGGGTTGAGGACCTCCTTCTGAGTGGGGGTGGGGATCAGGCCACTCCCCAAAGCCCTGAAGCAGCTGTTATCCCAGCAGAGGTCAGAGCCTACAGGTGAGACTAGGAGCAGAGGGAGTTTCCTGCATAGTTGGCACAGGCCACAGCAGGCCTCTGGAGGGCACTGACTGTGCCATCAGCCAGCACAGGTCAGGACAAGCCCTCAGATGCTCGGGAACAACTCTGGACTTTCACACCCTGCTGGGCCCTCTGACATACAAGAGGTTAAACTCCTGTGCCCTTGAGGAGGCCTTTGAGATACAGGTGATGCTAGGGTCGTTTGGCCAGGCTTATTGGCTGAGGAGAGAACGGCTGGGTTGTTTACAGCTCACACCCTAACTCGTGTCAGCTTTGAGGGGATCGCTTCTTGGAACTATGTTGCAATTCCTGCCCTGTTGGGCTCAGGTCCTAAGTCAGCTGCTCCTGAATCACCCCCAGACCCTACACAAGAGCATTCTACCACTGGTGCCTAGGCCTGAAGGGGAAGCATCATGTGGGTGATAATGACCATGGGTGGGTAGGAGATGCAGTCCCCAAGGCACCTTTTAACCCTTTCCCCTCTAAATGCCCTTTCTAGGCAACTTAAAGCCCCATCTGGGGCTTCTTCCAAAGGGTAAAACTGGAATAGGACCAGAGCTGGCAGGGTCATGTCTCCTGTAAAAGAAGCCAAGCATCCTCATAGTCTATACATAACATGGCTTGCTTGGCCTTTCAAGCCTAGATTCCTAGGTCACAGAGTAATTATTTAGGGTCATCAGCGATTAGCTACCACCTTCCGAGAGCCCAGCTTCCCTAGTCGCATCCAGCTTTATCCCTGACTCCTTTTCTGCCCTCCTTATTTCTGCCGTGAGGGTTCTGGAAGTGTGGCACTTCTGTTCCAGGAACTCCCCCACCCTGACTCTACCATTCTCCATCTCTTGGGCATAACCCATTTTCAAATGGGATGTGCACAGAAGAGAAAAGAGCTGGAGAGAATGCCAGTTCTAAGACCTTCTAGGGCGTGGTGAAATGCTTGCTTTGCAAGAATGAGGACCTGAATTTGAACCCTAGCACCCATGTTAAGGGAAAAGAAAACCAGATGTGGTGACACACAGCTGGTACTGGAGAGGCAGATTCCTGAGGCCTGCTGGCCATCCAGCCTGGCCCTGCTAGGTGAGCCACAGCTCCCTAGGACACACCAGATTGACCTCTGGCCTCCACATGCATGAACTGACAAAGCAAAAACATCACAAAAGCTCTCTCAGCCATCGTCCAGTGATGTCATTTTCAAGAGCGATACAGAGGGTCAGAAGCAATGGCTCCCTGGCACCTCTGTGGACAAGCCATACTAGGGTCTAGGCTAGAGTTCAGCTCAGCAGTTAGCCTGAGGATTCCTGCCAGACTGGGAGCCCATAATATTTCTCACTAATCCAAGGACATCTCTGCCAGACCTTGTGGAGAGGCAGGTGGGCTCCCTGGACCAAGTGGAGGTTCTCTAAGCCACACCCCTACTCTCCCTGCAGGCTTGGCTGCAGCAGTATGGCTACCTACCTCCCGGGGACCTTCGAACCCATACACAGCGCTCACCCCAGTCACTCTCAGCTGCCATTGCCGCCATGCAAAAGTTCTATGGTTTACAAGTGACAGGCAAGGCTGACGCGGACACCATGAGGTAAGTTCCTGGCATCCACTGATCACACTGAATACCAGAAATGCAGCCCCTTGAACCTGCCTCCAACACCAGTGTCCCGACCCTCTCCCATTCACCTCCTTATCTGGCCTTTCCCTACACTGATACAAACAAAACTTCACCCAACACTGACCTGGGGCCAGAAGCCAAGACCCTGGTCAACTACAGCTCCCCTTGAAGATTTTTTTTTTTTAATATGCTATACTGACCCTGTTGTTTCCACCCAGGGCCATGAGGCGCCCTCGCTGTGGTGTTCCGGATAAGTTTGGGACTGAGATCAAGACCAATGTTCGGAGGAAGCGTTATGCCATTCAGGGCCTCAAATGGCAACATAATGAGATCACTTTCTGGTGAGTCCAACAGCCTAGCGATTTTTCTCCCATACAGTACCCTTCCTTATTAGTTGAATTATGTCGAGTCAGAGCTGGCCTGCACTACTCCCCGTTCCTAGGGAGTGGGAAGGAAAATAGCTCTAATCTTACCGAGAAAGTGCCTCCATATGGCGGCGCACTGTAGTGCCAACGCCTCAACCAAGCCTGAAGATTCCCTTAAGCCGTTAGTTCTCGGGGGCTGAGACAGCATACATGGAATGGCAGGGGAAACAGGTCCGGCAAGGTGGCTGGGCAGTTCAGTCAGAGGTAGAGTACAGGGGATTGCGCTTCCTTTATCCTAACGCTTCCCTCCTCTATCCCCTGGATATAGCATCCAGAACTACACTCCCAAGGTAGGGGAGTACGCCACCTTCGAGGCCATTAGGAAGGCCTTCCGAGTATGGGAGAGTGCCACGCCACTGCGCTTCCGTGAAGTGCCCTACGCCTACATCCGGGAAGGCCACGAGAAGCAGGCCGACATCATGATCTTGTTTGCTGAGGGTTTCCACGGCGACAGCACGCCCTTTGACGGTGAAGGAGGCTTCCTGGCTCATGCTTATTTCCCAGGCCCCAATATTGGAGGGGATACCCACTTTGATTCCGCTGAGCCCTGGACTGTCCAAAATGAGGACCTAAATGGTGAGTAAGGGGACCCTGGGTCCTCCCCTGTATACTCGGCAGGCACTTGTGTATAGAAGGGTCCTCCCTCCAAAATCTAAGCTGGCCGGGTGTAGTGGCCAGCCAGGGTTACATAATGAGACCCTGTCTCATAAATCGGTAAAATTCACAAACAAATCTAAGTGATGAGGCAGGAGGGTTATGCATCTGAGGCCTGCCTAAACTATATAACAAGATTCTATCTCAAAACAAACAATAACAAAAAAAAAAACGCAGCAGCAGCTCAGGAGTAGCCATACAAACCTAGCAGAAAGCCGGACATGTATTTTAAGCTACTTATATGGGTATATTCGGCCTGCAGTCACTACCGGACTGACTTGCCAATCATAGACCTAAATGCTTCCTTCTCACTCACTTTTCCAGGCAAACATGATGCCTAGCTTCTGGGAGAAACTGAGCTCCACGGTGTAGGTTTTCTTGGGCTTAAGATCCTGCCCCGGGCACCCCACTTCACCCAGAGGGAGAGTAGTGACTGCCTTTGGAGTTTCCAAACAGGAAACTGACCCTCAAGACCTGATCACGTTAGGAAAACATGACCAGCAGGCTTATCTGGTGGGGAAGCAGGGAGCCTAAGAAGGGACCCAGGCGCTCCCCATCTCCGTCCCCAGGGAATGACATCTTCCTGGTGGCTGTGCATGAGCTGGGCCATGCCCTGGGCCTGGAGCACTCCAACGATCCCTCCGCCATCATGGCCCCCTTCTACCAGTGGATGGACACCGAGAACTTCGTGCTGCCTGATGACGACCGCCGTGGCATTCAGCAGCTTTATGGCGAGTTCTCCGTCCCCACACCCTCTCCTCTGGCTCTGTCCTTGTCCCGTCTCGGTCTCCGGTCTGTTTTCCCTCCATCATGCTGTGAAGTCTATACACACACACATACACACACACACACACACACACACACACACACACACACCGCTTCTCACTGCCTCTATTAGCGCCCACTTTCAAAAAGCATTTTTTATTATTTTGCATGTGTAAGAGCATTGCCTTTCCATATGTATATGCACCACGCACATGCCTGGTGCCTGTGGAGTCTCCCGAAACTGTTGCGCTGAAAACCAAACCTGGGTCCTATGTAGGAACTGCAGGTGCTCCTAGTCAGGGAGCCACATCTCTGTGCCCTCAGCTTTCACCTTTGAGCGTGTCTGCTGAACACACAAGCACACTACTTCATCCATCTCCACAACCTGTTTGCACTGGTTCTTTTTTTAAAATATTTGTTCTTATTATGGTGTATGTGTATGT